CTGCAGACAGGAGGCTCAAGACTCCCTGGCATCCTTGGCAGGCTGTGTACAGCTCTCAGTGAGTCTGTGATCTTGTGATGAAGTTCAATTAATTATTCCTATTCTAAAAGTAATGTTTGTTACTGTTTAAAACACGCATAAGGGGGAAATAGTAATAACACCCAGAGACAAACACTGCTAATATATCTTTTTAGTCTTTTTCACCTATATAGTGTTATGCTATACTAGAAATATAATTTCATGTTTTGCAGCTTTTGTTTAAATTTAAAAGCATTATCTAATTACAGACGTTTCATAAATATAATTTTGTAGTGGCTATATAATATATTGTTGAGTAGATACACCACCATATGCTTTACATAATATGCTTTATTCCTCTAGTGTTGGACAAAAATTTAGAATAAGTGAAGTTTACTGAAAACTTTTTCTAACTCAGACAGGCATATAGGTAGTTCTGTAATTCTGGGACCACATGGGAAACAGGAAGTGAAAATCAAAATTAAGTCATGAAATTGGAAAGAATTGTGAACTTTTAAATGGAGGACAAAGAGAAACAAACAGCCCGTGAGAGTGCATGCATGCCATCTGCAAAAAAGTGAAAAAGTTATTGCAGGCGTCTGTTGAAACTGAGTGAGAAAGCTCCTGAGCAAGCAATGGAAAGCAATGTATTTATTCAGTAAATATTTGTCGAGGACTCAGCATGTGCTGAGGAATGTTCTAGGTTCTGGAAATAAAGCAGGGAACAAAACTGCTTTAAAAAAAAAAAAAGAAGAGCCCCTACTTTCTTAGGGCTTACATTTTAGTTGGGAGAGATACATAATAGGCAAATAAATATATAATAGTCTATAAATTCCATGAATAAAAATAAAACAGAGTGTGAGGAAACAGCTCGTTTTGTCAGGATGGTTAGAGAAGACTGCTCTGATAAGGTGACACGTCAGCAGAGACCTTAGTGGAGTGCCGAGATGAGCACTGCCCGTTATGTTTGTACCGTTGTACTAAAGATCACTGACACTTTTTCATTGGGACAGTTCTTTATCACTATTTTAGTGAACATAACAAAAATACACGTGCAAAATTTCATGGGTTCGCTTTTTCCACCACATTTTATTATGAAAAATTTCAAGTAACCTATTACAATGGACACCCATATACTCACTTGCCATGATTCTACCGTGAATATTTTACCATGCTTGCTTATTACATATCTACCCATCTGTCCACCCCTCTGTCATAGGTTTAATTTTAATCTTGACGTCCTTACTCTTTAATCCATAAGTTAATCAGTTGTGTATTTCTTTTACCACAGGGGTTTTCAGAAACTTTATGAATAGGAAGAAATTTTATATTAATTTTTAATATTGTAGACTTTAGTTTTCTTTCACTTTTCTTTTTACATGTAACTTCTCAATCCATTCAGGCTTTACTTGGGGTTGTGGACCAAGGCAAGCATCTTGCCTTGTTTATTTATTTCCCAAATAACTGGCCTCCCCAACACATTTGTCAAACAGTCTGCCTTTCCTGTGTTAACTGGTCACTGTTTAAAAACAATATGAGTTTTTCTATATGCCTGGGTATTTTTCAACTTATCTTTTCTGTTCACTTGATTTGACTTAATTTATTTTACTAGCGCTTTACTTTTACAATTTTGCTTTATAATTCATTCTAATATGTAGTTAGGCACATCCTGCCCAATTATTTTCTTTTTCAAAATCATCTTAGCTATGTTATATGCTTATTCTTATAAATAAATATTAGTATTATCCATATCCTAAGGTATCTAGTTGGAATTTATATCCATATCTGTATATTTCTTGCTTTTCTGAAAGGAATCTTTCCTCATCTGTAAGACAGGGATAATAGTAGCAGCTTTTTGATAGGATTGTTGTATGAATTGAATAACAGACGAGAAGTGTTCAGCGTGATACATCAACTCAGGGCCTGTCCTGATTTCACAGAGGGCTCTGCGATTTCCTTGGAAGCAAGGAAAAATCATGCTAAGTTATAACCAACTCAGAAATCAAGCACAATGGGAGAGGTGAAGCACAGCAGAAGCGTCTCCCGCTCTTGTTGCATGATGCCCTGGTACGGTTAGGAGAGGCATCCCGGGACTCGCGCCTGCGTGCCCACTGCCGCCATGCCCATCCTGCAGAGCCATGGTGGTCTGGGGTTCAGATTATCAGGCATACTCACAGGGCATGATAGGCTGGAACCTGGCATCAGTTTTCCTTAGCTTTCTAGAAGGATACAACATGACAACATCAAACGGCTTCATTAGGGGTCCTTCCAACCACCTACCTGGTTTCCCAGCCCAAAACAGACACACTCAGCCATTTGTGATGAGACCAAATGGCTAGGCATGGACCACCCCACATGGGAAGCACAACACGGAGGCAGTATCTCGTAACTCCCATGAGACAGCCTCCAGCACCCCATGAGGACACCCTTGGGGATAAGAGAGAACACACAGAAGCTTGTGTTTCCAGAAAGTGTTTTAAATAGTCCTGGACCAGAAAACCCTCAGGGCCTATGCGTCTGCTCAGACCTCTCAGGCCAGGTGCAGGTCCCCTCTCAGTGGTGACCTCACAGTAACCTAGCACGACTGACATTTCACATTTATCTTGACCCGGTATGTTTCAAGGAAACAGCATAAGACGGTAAATCCAAGGTCACCTTCCCGGAAGAGAAGACTTAAGCCTGCTGTGAGCTCTTTCTCCTTACCACCCCACCCCAGCTTCTGGGCCTCTTGCTGGCATGCGCTTGCCTAACAGGAAGAGGCCTCAGAGCTCCCCCTGAGCAGCTGCCCTCACGGAGCCAGCAGGGAGCCCGTGTGCTCTTCCTTCTGTGTGTCTCCTGCATGGCTCCTGCTTTCCCCCCTCCAAACGGGTGGGTGCTCGCCACCATCTGCTCGGTTCTGCGCCCGCTGGTCCTGGCCATGTCCTTTCACTCGGGAAAGGCAAGGGTTTGGGACTATCACGGGTGCTTCTTGGTGTTCCCTCATCAGTACTGTTGTCAGCAGGAATTCCTTCAGGTTTTTACTCGGCTTCTCCCTAAGCTGATCCCTGCCTTATCCAAATCTCGAGCCTTAGTCCCTTGCACGGGGCCCAGCCACACACCCAGCTTGTGCACTGAGGCTCGTACACAGTCCTCTTTCCTGTATTGGCATCCCCGTGGGGCCATTCCTGGTTTCGGGTGCTCTCTGCTCTCTCGCTGCTGCTCCTCTTGTGGCTGAACCCACTGTGGTCAACGTGACTGACCATTCCTTCCCCCAGTGCCTGGCATGGAGTGGACTTCTGTAAATGTCAGATGACTCAGGTTTAGGAAGTAATGGACGAACAGAGTCAGTATCTCAGAGGATGTCAGCCAAGTGCTTATTTCTGTTTGAAATGAGTGCTCCGAAAAATGAATGTCAGCAACCAGGTATCTATAGCCTGATCCTTTTACACAGCAAGTTGTTGCCTGCAAAGGTACTTTTAAAGGTGGAGAAAATAAAAAAGGCTATGCTTATTTTTCTCGGAGACACGGAGCTCCCAGTTTTCTGTCATGTATGCCCGCGCCTGATCTGAGAGGATTAAACCCTGCTGAGGAGTGAGCAGTGGGAGAAAACTGGAGAATAAAAAAGAAAAGAGGGTATTGCTTGTCTTTTTACTTGTTCCACCATCATTGTCTAGGTTCCCAGGATGGAGTGCTAGAAGTAGAATTTGCTTTGAGATGAACAACACTGCTGGAGTTTTTGATCAAAAGTTACAGTTCCGCTGTCATTCCCCAGCTTCTCCATGGCTGCTCACCACAGTCTGTGTTTCTTTGTGGGCTGCCGGAGGAGGAGGGAGTGCAACAGTTAGCAGCTCATTTGCTCAGGCATGTGCTGTGTTCCCGGCGCTGTGCTTAGCACTGTACTTCTGGGTACGGTTGTTACCCCATTTTACAGTTGAGGAAACCGAGGTACAAAGAGATTAATCATCTCATGGTCACACGGTCGATCAGCAGCAGAGATTGTTGAACTCTGAGTTTGAACTCAGTCTGGCTCCAAAGTTCTTACCACACTATACTGCGTCTTACAAATTTATTGTCTGTTGTTCCATAACAATTATTCATATTTTTAAGGTACAACAGGGGCCCTTTTTCAAACCCAAGTCATGGAGTAACTGTTTCTCTCCATGTACATACGGTGTTAAGCTTCTTAATTTCAAGCAGTCCATTCCATTATTTCTTTCTTATTAAATTTTTGATCTGGCTTTTAAAGGGGAGCAAAGGTACACTTGGATTGGGTCGACTTCTTCTGTGACCTTAGAATAAATTTATGTATTTCACCAAGAAGCTTGATTATCTCAATTTTTTACTTTCCATATTAATAAAGAGCCGACTTTGCTCTGTCTTTGAGTGCCACGTGCCTTCTAGGGCTTGCCTGTCTGTTCTGTTGTAGCAGGTCGTGAAGCAGATGCTTTCATCCCATGAAAAGCCCCCAGGTCTGGTGCTCCCTTTCAGATATCAAGAGCCATATCCAAGTGGCTCTGACTCTCCCTGTCTCCGTCTTCCTTCCCTCGCATCCCTGCCGGCGCTTTATGTTCGCTGGCAATCAGGGGAAGAGACCTGAGGCAGGTACGGTCGGGTTCCTTCTTGAACTTTCAAATCTGAGTGTTGAGCTCACTTCCCTGAATTTATTAAGAGCTGTCTCCATTGTGAAATCTTTAATCATATAGTCTAGTCTGATCTATAGATAGGTCTAATCTAGCCCCAACCCTTCCTTTTTTTTCCCCCACCAATTAAATATTTTGGACGGTGGCTTCTTATTAGGATTGATTTATATTGAAAACTGATCCAATACTTTTTGTTCCTGCTTGAGTTTCAGAAATGCGATTTCATATTTTAAATATGTTTTTCTCTTTTTTACATGTAGTTCAATTTCAAAGTGTCTTACACTATACTTGTTTTTGCTAAGAATACCATCACTATAACTTCATCCTCTGGTTGTTTTAACAGCAAGTTTTATCTGCCTACAGGAGAATATTGAAAAGTGAGCCTCCGTATCCCCAAGAGATGAGTGCTTTAGCTAAAGACCTAATTCAACGTCTTTTGATGAAAGATCCCAAGAAAAGATTGGGATGTGGTCCACGTGATGCAGATGAAATCAAAGAACATCTCTTTTTTCAGGTGAAATTTGTTGTACAAATGGTTTTATGTGCCCTGCTGTTTCGGGGAGTTTGAACATGGTCCCTTTTGGAGTCACTTTCTTCCTATTTTCACGTACATTGTGCCTTTTTAAAATGACAAGGACCCTTCTGGAAGGATCATAATTCTATTTGTAGAGACCTAAATGGTCTTTTTCTCCCTAAATGAAGCAGGAGTGGGGAGGATCATAACATTTGATTTTCTACGTGCTATAGTTGACCCTTGATTATAACATTTGATTTTCTACATGCTATAGTTGACCCTTGAACAACGTGAGGGTTTTTGACACCCCCAACCCCCATGCAGTAAAAAATCCAAGTATAACTTTTGATTCCTCCAAAACTTAACTACAGTCACCCCTCAGTATCCTCAAGGGGATTGGTTCCAGGACATCCCCCACTCTTCCCCGGACACCAAAATGCAAGGATGCTCAAGTCCCTTATGTAAAATGGGGCGGAACAGTGCATGCAGTCCACCCTCTGCATTTGCGGATTCCCAACCACGGATCTGTTTTTGATCTGTTCTTGGTTGGATCCTTGGATGCAAAAACCAGGGTTAGGGAGGGCCTACTGTATATTTATTGAAATTTAAAAAATCCATGTGTAAGTGGATCCACACAGTTCAAACCCATGTTCTTGAAGGGTCAATTGTAATTGGTTCGAGTTTCTGAGTATTCATTTCCATTTATGATCTCAAGATTTAGGCATAGGGACTGAGGAGACTTTTATTACATTTTTTGCTTCTCTCTCAGTTCATGAGCCACTGTGTCACTAACCCTTTTAGATAGTGATTTCATCTCTTGTTTTCTCAGGAGAAATCTTAGAAAATTCAAAATCGACCTATTTCCATTTACATATCTGCAACATGTAGAGAATTATTCAGTTATCTTCTTTGTACTTGAGAAAGTGCTTTTCTTATTCTGAAAAAGCCTAATGAGACCATTGTATAGAACGCCAACACATCTGCTCAATTTAGTTTGTTCAATTTTGTCCCCAAAAACCCTTCAAAATTTTAGATAACTGGGGAAAAAAAGTTGAATTGACTGAGTTGGCTAGTTATTTCAGTCTAAATAGTCAACCTGGGATACCATGACCTTGATTTCTAAAACCCTGAGCTTATGACTTTGAAATAATTTAATATCAACAAGCATGACCTAAATATTTATGGCCTAAAGGGACCATCCAAGTTTTATTTTTATTCTGCAAACTGAGCTTTTACATTATTAGCACCAAAACAAATGAAAATAGCATACCAAAACAAAGAGAAAACTCTGCTAGAGTAAGCTTTCATGTTGTTAATTAATTGTTTTTTAAATATAGAAAAACAAATAGTGATTGAGAATAAGAATTATCTGTACTTCGGTGCTCAAAAAAGAGCACATTTATTTCAGTCAGTATAACTTTTAAAAAATCTAATATACATCTTACAGAAGTTCAGTAGCGTAAGAAAAATACATTTAGAATAAAACTTTCTCAGCATGTACATTTCATAGGTTCATATGGCTCAGAAAGGTTAATGTTTGAACAAATGATTTCAAATATCTTGAGAAGTTTGGCTTAAAAATTAATAATGTAAAATTCAAGACAGTATTCAAGCAAAATGTCCCCCCCCCCCAATATTTTCTTAGGATCTTTTTCTCCACGGTTCTCTCTATTTGTGAATATTCTATCTTTCATATTAGAGAATTTCTTTTTCTATAGCTTGGAATAGTAATTTTAGCTTATTTAATTACCTTGACTTTTTAAATGACAGGGACCCGTTAAGAAAAACCAGAATTTGACTTGTAAAGACCTAAATAGAGTAAGGTAGAGAGAATCATAACAGCATTCAATTTTCTGCATAGTAAATGTTCTCCTACTAGAACATATTTCTTTAAATTACCCCTTTACTCTAGAAGTTTCTCTTAGTGTATGTACAATAGCCAAGCACAAATCATATGCTTGTAATGATAAACGTTACAGCCACATAGAGGGAAGAACACTAGAAAAGCCAAGAGACGGTTCGAAGCCAGACCCTTCCACTAGCTAGCGTTTAATAAAAAGGTTAGGTCTTATTTCCGGGCTTCAGTTTCCATCTGAATCAAATAAAGAGATAAACTAAATAATCTCTAAAACCCATTCTAGCTGAAAAATTAGAAGATCTTTAATTTTTATGATTTTATCTTTTTTGCCTCCACAAGAGGGCATAATAAAACATTTTATGCTAGTTGATTAAACTTACTGAATGCCATCAACCTAGAAATGCAAGTTCCACATTTTGCCATCTCTGAAATCAGTAAGCATCTTACGGTGGACAACCTCTTACCATCCTAATTGGTAATGCTTTTTCTTCCCTAATTGTACATAAAACACTGACATGTTTTACTATCAATGATGACATCTTAGATTCGAAGAAATATATTAATAGGATATCTATCTGTAGGACTCAGGTAAGTATTATCTGAGGTTTTTTTAAGTGCTAGAAGGAGCATAAAGAAAACAGTGGAGGGTTGAATTTGAATAATATGAAACAGCAGTTTATCAGGCTGTAAGTATCTGGCGTGGTGGAAAAGGGCTTTGGATCATCCCATGGGGAAGAGAACAGGCGATGTTTATAATGCCTGAATACAGTTGAATGAGGAAAGTGATTACATCAGTATGTTAGTATCGTTTAAACCTATAGATGTAAACAAATGCATGACTTATAATGAGGTTGTTTATTTTCTAATCTGTCCAGATGACCAGGAGAAAAAGCAAGTACAGGAGAACTAATTAGCACTGCCTCTAGAAAACAGGAGTCTGCCTGTAGACTTAATATTCATATCCACAGAGCATTTTAAAGCCCTTTATTACACTTTTGTTTTGACTTGATACATTTCCCAGGAGGCTCAGAACAAATGCAATTTTTCTGTTATCCCTAAGAGTAAACTAGGTGTCCTGGTGCCCCCCAGAGGACACGCGGAGACTCCACAAGGAATGGAAAAGGAGCTCACCTTGCAGACACAGCATTGGCTGGATCTGTAAGCTCCAGTCAGAAAATGTACTCGTGCTTATAAAAATATTTTTTTAACCATTAGTTTGAAATGTATGCCTCTCTTTCTATGGTCAACTAAAATCCTAATCTGGCTTTGTTATTCTTAGAAAATATAGTTCAATTTTGCTGATTTCTACTTTGTACTCATTTTCTTGCTCTGCTAGAAAATCAATTGGGATGATTTAGCTGCCAAAAAAGTGCCGGCACCATTTAAACCAGTCATCCGAGACGAATTAGATGTGAGTAACTTTGCAGAAGAGTTCACAGAAATGGACCCCACCTACTCCCCCGCAGCGCTGCCCCAGAGCTCCGAGAGGCTGTTTCAGGTAATCCCCAAGGGTGTGCACTGGCCATGGGTGCCTTGAAAGAAAAGGTTAATTTTCCCACATGAAAGTATTTTTGGCATCTAAAACACAGGATTCTCTAATCTCTTCAAAATTATTAAATACAGAGATATTGCAAATTGTTAACTGAAGCTTATGATTTGTTAAATAGCAGTCATTGTTTATGTGTTTATTTTTTTATATAAAAAAGTGTTGATTTTATACCTAAAATTTTATGTCTGTTCAGGCTCTTTAATAGAAAATATAATATTACTTTATTTTACTTCCATTCATATACAATATTCTTTTTTTTTTACATTAGAGTTGACATTCAGTATTATTTTATATTAGTTTCAGGTGTACAGCATAGTGGTTAGACATTTACATAATTTATGAAGTTATCCCTCCCCCCAATGTCTAGTACCCACCTGGCACCATACATAGTTATTACAATATTATTGACTATGTTCTCTATGCTGTATTTTACATCCCTGTAACTGTTTTCTAACTACCAATTTGCACTTCTTAATCCTTTCACCTTTTTCACCCAGCCCCCTAACCCAACTCCCATCTGGCAACCATCAGTTTGGTTTCTATATCTGTGAATCTGTTTCAGTTTAGGGGTTTTTTTGTTTATTTTATTCTTTAGATTCCACATATAAGTGATATCATGTTATTTGTCTTTCTGTGACTTATTTCATTAGCATAATACCCTCTGGGTCCATCCATGTTTCGCAAATGAAAAGATTTTATTTTTTATGGCTGAGTAATATTCCATTGTATTGTATATGTACCATAGCTTCTTTATCCAGCCGTCTATTGCTGGACATTTGGGCTGCTTTCATATCTTGGCTATTGTAAATACCACTGCAGTGAACACAGGGGTGCATTTATCTTTTCAAATTAGTGTTTTAGATTTCTTTGGATAAATACCCAGAAGTGGAACTGCTGAGTCATAAGGTAGTTCTGTTTTTAATTTTTTGAGGAACCTCCATACTTTTTTTGTAGAGGCTGCACCAATTTGCAGTCCCACCAACGGTGCACGAGGGTTCCCTTTTCTCCACAACGTCACCAGCACTTGTTTGTGGATTTATTGATGTAACCATTCTGACTGGAGTGAGGTGGTATCTCATTGTGGTTTTTATATGCATTTCTGTAATGATTAGTGAGGTTGAGCATCTTTTCGTATGTCTGTTGGCCATGTGTATGTCCTCTTTGGGGAAATCTCTGTTTAGGTCTCTCCCCATTTTTTAATTGGATTGTTTGGCTTTTTGGTATTGAGTTGTATGAATTTTTTATAAATTTTGTATATTAAGCCCTATTCAGATATATCATTGGCGAATATCTTCTCTCATTCAGTAGGATCTCTTTTCATTTTGTTGATGGTTTCCTTTGCTACGCAGGAAACTTTTTAATTTGATGTAGTCCCATTTGTTTATTAGTTTGTTTGTTTCTCTTGCCCAAGGAGATACATCAAAAAAATATTACTAAGAGCAATATCAGAGTTTACTGCCTATGTTTTCTTCTAGGAGTTCTATGGTTTCGGGTCTTACATTTAAGTCTTTAATCCATTTTGAGTTTATTTTTGTAGATGGTGTAAGAAGGTAGTACAGTTTAATTTTTAGCATGTATCCAATTTTCCCAACACCATTTATTGAATAGACTGTCTTTTACCCTATTGTATATTCTTGCCTCCTTTGTCATAGATTAATTAACCTTATAGGCATGGGTTTATTCTGGGCTCTCTATCCTATTCTGTTAATCTATGTGTCTGTTTTTATGCCAATATTATGCTTGCTGTCTTGATTACTATAGCCTTGTAGTATATCTTGATTATCGGCTAGCTTGATACCTGCAACTTTGTTTTTCTTTCTCAAGATTGCCCATGGCTCTATTCGGGGTCTTTTATGGTTCCATATAAATTTTAGGATTATTTGTTCTAGTTCTGTGAAAAATGCCATTGATATTTTGATAGGGATTGCATCGAATCTATAGACGGCCTTTGGTAGTATGGACATTTTTTTTTTTAATTGGGGAATTGGGGGAGGGGAACAGCGTTGGAGAATTGGGGAGGAGGACCAGCCAAGTTGTTGTTCTTCAATCTTTGTTGTGGAGGGTGCCAGTCGCCATCTGGCTGCCCGTCAGCAGCTCGTGGCCTCTAAGCTCAAGGTGCTGTGTTATAGTCTTAGTTGTGGGTGGATGTAGCCTCCATTCCATGCAGGAGTTGAACCAGCAGCCTTGTTAAGAGCTCACACTCTATCCACTGAGCCATCTGGGCAGCGGCTCAGCTCAAGGTGCCGAGTTCAGTCTTAGTTGCGGGCGGGCGTAGTCCACCATCGAACAGGCAGTTTTGTTGTTAGGATCACGTGCTCTCACTGCTGAGCCATCCTGCCACCTGTTGGCAGCTCAGCGGCAGCTCAGCTCGGGCGCAGAGTCACTGGCCCATGTGGGAATCTAACCGGCGGCCCTGTTGCTTAGAGCTCACGCTCTTAAGCTAACTCTTAACCAACTGAGCCACTCGGCCGGCCCAAGTATGGACATTTTAACTGTTAATTCTTCCTACCCATAACCATGGTATATAATTGCATTTATTTGTATCTTCTTCAGTTTCTTTTTTCAATCTCATATAATTTTCTGAGTACAGGCCTTTTACCTCCTTGGTTAAATTTATTCCTAGGTATTTTATTTTATTTTTATGCAATTGTAAACTGGATTATTTTCTTAATTTCTCATTCTAGTAATTCATTATTGGAATACAAAAATGCAACTGCTTTCTGAATATTAATTTTGTATTCTACTTTGCTGAATTCACTTATCAGTTCTAATAGTTTTTTGGTAGAATCTTTGGGGTTCTCTATATATACATATACAATATTCTTTAATTCATAAGTAGTGTTACCTGATTCTTTATCTTCAGTGAACAATTTTAATTGCTTTTCTAGAAAAATATTTAGAAAGGATTTTATATTTAGAAAAGGATCTTTCTCAGACTTAAGATGAAATATTCTAAATATTAAATGGCATCATAGCTTCACTTCTTTGACTTCCATTAGTATATCATTAGCGTTCTTTAATCTGGCCATCTGGACTGTGTCTGTAGACCTTCGTGACACTAATGTCTAGCACTGGTCTGGCCGCGTAGTAGATGTTTAAAAACATGCTCATTGAACTAGTTAGTGACTGTTCTAGCTTGAACAGGTTAATCATCCATCATTGTATCACTTTTGGTTCAGCGCATCATTCTGCCAATTGATTTTATTCCTTTTCTAGAACACAATTTTGAATTTAATTAGTCTAAGGAAATATAATAAGAGATAATTGCTGAATTAGAAACCAACTGTAATGAAATTTGCTTTTTTTTCTAGTTTGAAAATCACTTGGATCACTTTGCTTAATACCTTAACCCCACCTTTTTGGAGAAGTTAGTTGTGTTTATAAATGAACTTTTATCAGCAATGCAAAAGAATTACAGCTATGAGTCAGATTTGGGGAGTGGAATAGGAAAGAGGTATTTTTCTGCCTTTAATTTTGAATTGGTTTAATTCCACCAGAAGATGGCATTATCTCCTTCAGAAAAGCATCTTTCTATTAATTTGAAATAACCTTGCATTTTAGATTACAAATAAAATAAAATTAGATTCACCTTAACAAATAGTTGAGTGTTTTTTATTATTTTTATTTTGTCAAGTCTGTGTTAAACTGGAAAATTGCAAGTCCATATTTTTCACCTTTCCTTTTGTTTTAGGGCTACTCCTTTGTTGCTCCTTCTATTCTGTTCAAGCGTAATGCAGCCGTCATAGACCCGCTTCAGTTTCACCTGGGACTTGAACGTCCCGGGGTGACAAATGTTGCCAGGAGTGCAATGATGAAGGTACATAGATGTGGTTAATTAAATGGCCTATTTATGGTGTGAATACTAATACTGATTCTCAAGTCCAGTACATGTACTAAACCTACCATTCAACTAAGATGCAATTTTAAGAAATGATTAAATGAAGATAGCAATATTCACCCTAGCTAGAGAACCATTAGCATCAATTTGAATGAACTCCTTTTTACAATGACAGAAAATTATATGTCTTAAGTAAATGACAGAGTTGAACATTGAAGGAGCTAAAGATGAATTTTAGAAGATTATAAATGTATTCCATTCATATTTATTAACATTAGTAATGTCCTGTTACTATTATTTTTATTTTATCCCTGTGTATTACTGATATTCTCTTAAAGTTAAATGATGATGGTTTCTTATCAGGACTCTCCATTCTATCAACACTATGACCTAGATCTGAAGGACAAACCATTGGGAGAAGGAAGTTTTTCAATTTGTCGAAAGTGCACACACAAAAAAAGTAACCAAGCATTTGCAGTCAAAATAATCAGCAAAAGGTAGGACCATTTCTGGCAGTCTCTCTTATGGATTCATTCTAGTCAATGGAGTCTGTAAATTAAGATTTTTATTTAAAAGGAAATCAACAGTATATTGTAAGGCTTTTTACCCGCAGGTTTAGCCATTCAGCTCCTCTGTTGATCTCTCGCTATACTTCTCTCTCTAGTAGGTATTTTCTGCTAAAGTCATCCATTTTGGACATCAATCATAGTATGATATGCCTTTGACTTTATTATGAGAAAACTTCCTTGTGGCAGTGACATTTAATCAGACTTACTTAGTGAGTTCAGCAGTTGTTGCCATTTCCTATTTGTTGTATATTTGAAATACTTTTTTTCTGAAATTATTCAGCAGTCTACTGGTAGCTTTGAGAGCCAGCTCATTGTTTTGGTAACTGATTATTCCCTCCCTGATTATATACTCTTATTACCAAATTGGCAGGCAAGTAAGGCATCCATTTCTTCTTGTGATTAGCTTTTTTCTGACTCAGAAATAATCAGTTTCTCAACAATATGTATTACTTGTTCTGGTGGGTAGTATGACTCATTACTGGGTTGTCGGAAAAGTCTTGACGCATTTTTGCAACGAAAAACATAGAAAAAATACATCATGACTTTTCTGACAACCCAATACTTTCATGGAAAATTCATTGTAATACTTTATGACACTTATATTCTGAATACACTGTAAATAAAAACAAAATTGGGGTTGGGCAATACTGACATCAAAACTTGGTGTAGAAGTTTGTAGAGACTAATTATTTTATCTTGTAGGATGGAAGCCAATACTCAGAAAGAAATAACAGCTCTGAAACTCTGTGAAGGACACCCCAATATCGTGAAATTACATGAAGTTTTTCATGATCAGGTATTCCCCATTTTTTTTCTCTGCATACTAACTCACATTCAAGTTTCTACTTTTCACCAGTTTTGTTGGTGCTGCTGGGTCAGTCAGGAATGTGGGACGTCACCCAGAGGGCAGAGAAACCACTCCACGCACACTTTTACCCACCCCCACCCCCCAAATCCATGCATCCTTTCACATCTACTGTGTCTCGCTCAGTATTAATCATGTTTGACCTGGAGTGAGGACAGAGGGACAGGAACTCAGTGCCACTGCCACAAGCTGCATTGTACTTACTGCCAGTTCAGCTGCTACCACCATAGCTTAATCACGCATACCTCTCAGGACTCAGAAATTGTCAGCTTTCAACTTCCTTTCACTTCTAGAATAGAACATAGAGAGCCTTAAGCATGATTCGTGCAAGCCAAAGAACACATAGGAAGTGGAAGGGCAAAGAGACTCATTGCAGGTGGCAGTTTCTGCGCAGCCCACAGGCCTGTCACGCTGCCCCCTGTTCTTCTACGCGCAGTCCCACTTTCTAACAGGAACCTAACCAGACGAATGTAACTTTGGATATGGGAGGCGTGCCATTGTGTCGGGTCCATGTCTCCTCTCCAGTTCCTGCACTGTCATCGTGTATGACAGAAATTGCTCCACTGCAGCTGTCTTCCACCCGGGGAATCACTGGGATGACACAGCCCTAATCAAGACAATACAAGAGCTGAAACCAATCATGGATGGGTTTGCCCTAACTTTTCCAAAGAAGAAACTGAGATTCGAAGGGTCATGAGACTTGTCCAAGGTTACATAGCAAGTCAGTGAAAAATCCAGTTGGGAAAACCTGGTGTCCAGTTCTGGGCTCACTTTGTTGTCCTGCTCTCACATCCATGTCCTAGGAGAGCTGTGGCCCAGTTCTCCACCACACGGAAATTCACCCAAGTGCTGTGCCCAAGAATGATATGTCCTGGTGAAACCAGGCAGCGGCAGCATCATAACTGAAATAACTGCTGCCATTTACTGTCACATCCCTTATGTGGTCCAGGTACTCCACATGGATTACCTTAGTCAATCCTTGTATAACTCTAGGAGGTGAGAAAACGGCAACTCACGGAAGTAACAGGCTCTCATGGTTTGTGAGTGGTAATGCTGACTCTGAACCCAAGCAGTCCAATTTCAGAGCAAGCTTTTCATCACTTTGCTCGGCTGCCTTAGGGGAGGCAGAAACACGCCCCAGCTTTCACAACAGGTGGCGGAGCAAAAATAATACCATCGTCTTCTCGCTCTTCGGCTCTCACAGCCAGACAAGGAGCATCTTGTCACAGGGGCTCGGTGCTGCGCCTCTCCTGCCTCCACCTCATTGGGTTACTCAGCCACAGTGCACGAAGTGAGTCCCCTGTCCACTGCAGGTGCTTGAGACGAGCCTGGACAACCTCCCAGTGAAGAGGATGCACACATCAACCAAGGGGTTGGCGCGTGACCTTCAGCACCCGCTCTGTGGTTTTGCAGCTGTGCCCCCAGCTACAGTCCAGCAAAGACTGGATCGCTGACCTTTAGGCTGTCAGATCCCAGGAATGGCATCCCTCATTTTTTATGTCACAAGTTAAATTTATTATTTTCTATTTTCATATTCAAGAGTTACTAGACTATAAATTATCTCCTGACACAATCCTATATGTGCTAGTATAAATATAGGATCAGTCTAATATGCAGATGTTGAGATCTTGGGTGGTTTTTTCCATGATGGTGACACAGTTGCCTAGATCGTCCCCAATCCACACAATCTTCCTTCCAACTGATGGGCGAAATGGATTGAGGGTGGGTCTTCAGCCTTTGACTGTACAGCAGTGTAGTTTATCGTGTGTACCATGATTTGTGCTTTACCACTCTTATTAGTTTAGTCCTCTATTGCTGCTGTAACAAATGACCACAAACTTAAAACGATACAAATGTATTATCTGACAGTCTGAGGATTAAAAGTCCACAGTCAGTCTCACTGGTATCAAGTCAGGCTGTCAGCAGGGCTGCTTCCCTCTGGAGGCCCTAAGGGACAGGCCATTTGCCTTGTGCCTTTTTCAGCCTCACAGACATGGCCCACATCCCTCTGCTTGTGAGTCTTCCATGCATCACTCCAGTGTCTTGTTCCCATAGTCCCCTCTCATACTGCTGACTCCGATGGATAACTGAGATGCTCTCCCCATCTCCCGTCCCTCAGTCACACCTGCTAAGTCCCTTTACCAAATAAGGTAACATCCACAGGCTCTGGGGAGTAGGATATGGCATCTTTGGGGGTCATTATTCAAGCTACCACATATACATTTTCTCATCGTTACCTACATTTTATTGGCAACGATCCTAAAGTTCATAGAGGTAAAGTAACATTCCCAACATCATAAGTGAGTAACAGAACTGGCAACAGGTTCAAGTTTAACTCTAAAACCCGTCTTGTAAACCATGGTAGGTATCGCTCCCCTTTCTTTTAAAGCTTACAGGCATGTCCGTTCAGCGCACCTTCATCTTTGACCTTGTTGTCTGATGTAGAAACTCAAACTGGCTTGGTCTCGCGCAGCCTGGGAACAGTTTTCATATTAAAAGCGTTGTTCACCCTTTACAATTTGCACAATATGTGCAGAACGATGTATTTTTAATTGTCTTTCTTATGAAGCAATTTTTCTGACTTTTGCTGATTCAAAGGGAAACATTTTGTTTGCTGAAGTGATGTGGGTGCTATAATGCACAGCACCTAAATCTGAATATTGATTTGATATAGCTCGTCTTAAAACATTTGTTTTTATTTGAGAGCGGATATAAACCCTTTGCTTTTCGATACCTTCTGTGTGTTCTTTACGACAATGTGTGCAAAGCATAGTAAGTATATAACCATTTAAACCATTTAACTAAGATAATGTCATTGGGATCAAAAGCAGTTATTTTTCAAAAACCCACAGTGAGTTATGAGTATTTGCCATAGGCATTAACAGGAACCCTGAAACTCATCTGTTGAGCCCTAAAAGGAGGTTTAAAGTGATGTCACCAAACAATGCCTCTTTTAAAAAGTAAATTTGCCATTAAATGTGTGTGTCAGGCAGTTGCTCATCCCCCATCAGTACCCGGCTATATTTATTTACAGCAGTCAGTTTCACATTATTATCAGCACTAGGTTGTACTTTAAAAAGAAAGATATGTAAACTTGATAGAGAGCGTTGGAGTGGAATTCAAATGAAAGAGTTAGTCAAGGAAAGGATATATAAAGATTTCACTGCAGTACTTAAGATTTTCCATGACCAAAATAGAATTCTAAAAAAGCCCCATTATCCTTCAGCCCTTTCCTCCGAAACACAGGGATTACTGATGATTATTTTAACAAGGGGTTATTTAAATTCATTGGTGATAGTTTAAATAGTCAGTAAATGTTTCCTAAGGTAATAAACGTGTCTTCATTAAGGCCTCGCGCTTTATTCTTCCTCCTTTTCTAGCTTCACACTTTCCTGGTGATGGAACTTCTGAACGGGGGAGAGCTGTTTGAACGCATTAAGAAAAAGAAACACTTCAGCGAGACGGAAGCCAGCCGCATCATGCGGAAGCTTGTTTCCGCCGTCAGCCACATGCACGACGTCGGCGTGGTGCACCGGGACTTGAAACCCGAGGTAGAGAAGGACATTGCCTCTCACGTAACTCAGTCAGATGCCGGTAGAGCATGTCCCCAAATACGCGTGGGCTTTTTTTCTTTCTTTCTTTCTTTCTTTTTTTTTTTTTTTTTTTTTGACTTTTGGGGCTTTCTGCTAAATAGATACTTGCAAATATCATGTTTCTTGGATTTTTTTTCTTTTCTATCTCAGTCTAAAAATAAATTTGTCCCTTTTTTTTTTTCTTTTTGCCTGCTGATCATCCCGAGGTTCTATTTCTAAGTGTGAGAGCCTTTTATGGAAGAAATACTTTATGCAACAGTTGTGGACTAAAAATAGCAATGGAAATTTTTGTAATGGAAAATAATATCCCTTCTATATGTATACCATTTTAGAGGGTTTTTTTTTTAATGAAGTATTTTGAAAGCTTATTTTTCACATTTGTAATCAAACTGATTAGCTCAGAAATAGGAATGGATATAATTCCATTCTAAATATTTAAACATAAAGAATTGTCTTGGTTTAATTAGTTATGCCATCCTTAGATGTGCTTTCTTTTGCGTATGTACTATAATATTTATAGAACTGTGTAACAATGCAGAAGTAGCAGCTTTTATATTTCTTCTTTGAAAAGGTTAATAAAGAAGGTACTAACCCTTTATAGTATCAAAAATATGAAAATTCCTCCCTTTTAGAAGTCATCAAAATAATAATGCAGATTAAAAACTAAAGCCCAGTAATTTATAAAAGAATAACAATGAATCATCTTTTGCCGTATGCAAAATTATATGTATTCCCTCTTTAAAATGGAGCTTCCTTTTTAATTACCGTGTGATGATAATGCATTTTTAAGTATACTTAAAATAATGTTTAAATAATATACAAAATAAAATAATAAAAAAGTTTATTTTTTGTGTTAGACCACAAAAGTGTATTTTTCAAAAAGCACCATTTTTGCCTTTTATTTAAATATCCTGGATTATTGGTAGGAAGGGGTTGTTTTTAAAATGGAATTCTGTGCATTCAGATATTATTAACTGATTCCTGAAGTAAACTTCTGTCTGTGTACTTTCTGTTACTGTTATTCACATTACTAGCAATTAATCAAAAGTGAATTGTGTTTTGTGAACTTGCAACTATGATAGCTACCCCTCTGCTTCCTTCATCATAGTTCTCACTCTCCTACATAACGCCCACTGAAAATATGGTGCTCTGTACGTTGAAGATTAGCTGTCTATTTTTAAATGTGAAAGCACACCACTTAAATGTTTTCTTGATAGACAAGGAACACGCATGTAATTTTTAAAATTTTTTTAATTGAAAAGATCTGTTCCATGACTGTATAGAATTCATTTTCACATTTTATTCTTTGATAACTGGCCATCTGTCATCTCATGAGTCTCAAATGATGCAACTGAGCAGAATTTAAGTTTGCCTTCCTAGTTTACTGATAAAAAGATACTTATATAGCTTAATTCTTCTTACTTGTTATAAAACTTTTCTTTGAAATACTCATTTGGAATGAAGAATTGTCAGGTTCTTCCCCCCCCCCCCCGAGCCATCCTGCCACCTGTTGGCAGCTGAGCTCGGGCACAGTGTCACTGGCCCATGTGGGAATCGAACCAGCGGCCCTGTTGCTCAGAGCTTGCGCTCTTAAGCTAACTCTTAACCAACTGAGCCACTCGGCCTGCCCCAGAATTGTCAGGTTCTTGAGGCCATTCTACTACAATTATAATCCTCAAAGTATTTTTTTGGAGAAATGAAAATATACCTTTGTACTAACATTTTCATAGTAAAACAGTTTCACCTTGACTTTTAAATGACAGAGTATATTATTGCCAAACTAAAAATTTAATACCTTTCCCAATGATGTGTAGCATATATAATCTGATTATATATCTTTTGGTAGATATTTATGTGGCATTCTTTTTCTGCATAGGCAAAATCCTAAATTTAGGTGAAAAATCAGAAAAATTTAGAAGCTGGCTGACATTCTTAGTAGGCTGCTTCGTATTTTTCATACTGCTCCCCATTCTCTTGAAAGGTTAATAAAAAAATATACCAAATTATTGGGTTGTCGAAAAGTCATGATGTACTTTTACAACGAAAAACAGAAAAAATACATCATGACTTTTCCGACAACCCAGTAGTTTCAGGCAGAACTTGGAACGAGGGTAAAAGGAGATTGAATGGTCACTCCCTACCATTCCTGACCCTTGACATCCAACTCCGCTTAGAGTTGGGAGAGGAATGAAGAAGGGATGTCACATCCCCTCCACTTCAAGGCCTAAGGTCAAGGAAGCCCATTGCCAGTCTTAACATAGAATCAACTGAAGTCGTTTCCAAAGACTGGGTAGGCTCCATGGCGACAGGGACCAGGCGCACTTCCCTCCCTGTTCTGTGTGGCACAGGGCCTGCCCTGCGCACGGGCTCAGGAGTCGTTTGCTGAACAACATCTCCCAAGCCAGGTACACATCTGTGAACCCCACCTGAGCCTCAGTTGTGGTGAGGCCTTACATTTACTTATATCCACATATCAGTTCCATCACAAATTCAGGATTAAGAATTGTATGCTAGAAAAATCGTAAGCTATTTTCAGGTAATTGTTTTGCTTTGCTTTCCTCCCACTCTACTTGTTTTTAACTTTTGAGTGGAAGGCTTAGAAGATTTTTCTTCTTTGTATCAATGAAGCTTTCTATGATGTCTTTTATTTCAGTTAGAATAATATTAACAAAGCAAATGATGTTGCGGAGATGAGAAATGATTTAGTGAACATTAAAGGCATAACAGATTTTGTTAGGATGTCTGAAGACATAATCAGATTCACTTAACTGTGGGTGCTAGCTTGATGTACCAATAAAAATGATCTGTGCATCAATAAAGTTAGCATTTATTAAGGATGTAATAAATACAAAAAGTAGTACAATAAAACCTTAGTGATTGAGAAACCTTGGTGGATGACTAATTCAGAATAGCAATGTTTCCTGAATAATGGGGGGATAATATCCATAAGCATAAAAAATGTTTAAATATTAACTTTTGGAGAAAATAGTCCTGAAATGTAATGTATTTCTCCACCATGTCTTCAATATGCTATGCTAGATCTTATATAACTATTTTATTTATGACTTCATTCAATGGACCAGTATTTATCAAAGCACCTACTATGTGACTATGCAAGGCCCTCGGCATAAAGTCATAAATAAGGTGGACACACAGTCCCTACCCTGATGTAACGATAGTCTAATGGGGATGAAGATTTTGAACTGATAATGTGGAGGTGATAAGTGCCAGGAAAGCAAAGTAAATGATGCTTGGAGAAAATATAAAAAGTCCTAGCTTCAGGTTGGTGGCATGCTTAGGATGGTACCTCTAAATGAACGGTGGACCTGAGCCAGTTTGGAAGGCAGATTGATGGAGGAAATAGAAGACAAACATGGTCAGAGATCCAGAAAAGCATAGACAAAGGCTCTGACATCAGACAAGGCACAGTACAGTTGAAAAATGTTTCACATAACATTGTAAAATTGACCTAATACAAAAAGTATAAAGTGAGGGCCAGCCAAATGGCTCAGCTGGTTAAGAGCTCGCTCAAGAGTGCGAGCTCTGAACAACAGGATCACCGGTTCGATTCCCGGCCCCAGCTGAGCTGCTGCTGCGCTGCCAACAGGTGGCAGGATGGCTCAGCTTAAAAAAAAAAAGTATAAAGCGGCTGCAACAGTGCACGGACGTCCAGCTCCCAGACCTTGCTGTGTCTGAACCCACTATCAGTATAAAGATAATTTACACAAATGGCAACCCCAAGTCCCATGACATTTAATGAGAGACTAATTTAAGTCTTTGTATCTTGCAGAATTTATTGTTCACTGATGAAAATGACAATCTGGAAATTAAAATAATTGATTTCGGGTTTGCACGCTTAAAGCCGCCCGATAACCAGCCTCTCAAGACGCCTTGCTTCACTCTGCATTACGCGGCCCCAGAGCTCCTGAACCATAACGGCTACGATGAATCCTGTGACCTCTGGAGCTTGGGCGTCATTCTGGTGAGTCCATTTCAGTAGAGCCATTAAACCTAGTCAGGTCTTGGATGTCATCTGTACCTACCTCTCTCTTGGCTGTTTTTCTTACATTCATGAAAAAGTTGGCAAATTGGTCTCTTTCCTGTACAACCAGTTGCAGGCCTGACAGAAGACCGTTTCCCTTCCTTAAAACTTACTTTGGAGAAAATGTAGGAATTTTGATTTTAGTTTATTTTGAAATATTTAAGGCAATTGTGTTTTTGTGAATAAAAGAGTTATATTATTTTTTAAAAGAATCAGTAATATATTTTCAAAAGATGCATATTAGATATAATGTAAAAATAGCAAAGTGACTCAATGGAAAATCATTAAAAAACACATTCTTTGAGGTTTTCAGACTAAAATGTGGTTAAAGAATCATTTAGGATAAATTAACTAATAGGTAAAATTAGAAATATTATAGTAACTTATAGTAATCATGGTAAGCATGCTTTTCACAAAGTATCCTTAGCTGCCGTGATCAGAAACAGAACATTAAGCTAATAAATTCTTGGCATGTCTTTTCTCAAAATAGCTTGACTTTTTCTCTGCATATAATTTGTAATGCATGATCTTAGGGAGAAGTGTTCAGACAATACAGAAAGCTATAAGGAGCAAAGTGAAAGCACTTGTAATCTTGTCATACAGCGAGGATGCTTTGCAGGCGCACTCTTCCTCTGACTCCCCCGCCCGACCATGTTTTGTATGCTTTATATCTTTCTACAGGTTTTTCTATAGACGTGCATATATACTGGAGGTTTTTAATAAATGCAATGATATTGTACATGTAGGTTGAGTCTCCAAAGTTTATTTAACCATTTCTTTACTAATGAGCAGTTAGCATTTTCCAGTTTTTCACCAATTATAAACTACACAAATGAATAGTTTTTTATATCTGGGCTTGCATTTGTCTCATTATTTCTTTAGAATAGATTTCCAGGAGAAAGGTATACACATCTTTATTTTGACATATATGCCTGGATTTCTTTCTTGAAGTCTTAGCATATCATGTTCTCATGAACTGTATGCAAATATATTGAGTGTTGTCCATTTCAATCTTAAGTTATTTCCTCCTGATGTTATCATTTGTATGCATTTCTTTGATGGATATACAGTCTGAGCATCTTCATGTATTTGGACATTTGTATTTTTTTCTTTTATGAATTACTGTATATGAGCATTGCCCAATTTCCTATGGGAAAATTTTCTTACTGAATTTTAAAGCTCTGTTAAGGATTTTAATCCTTTGTCTGCCATTAATATTGAAAATGGGGTTGTTTTTTTTTTGGTTTGTCATTTGAAAATTTTGTTTAGAGTAATATGGTATTTTAATTTTGCTTTTAAAAGGTTTAAATAAAAAAATTCCTTTTTAAAAAATAAATGTATTGGCGTGATAATGGTTAGTAGAATTACAGAAGTTTCAAGTGTACAATTCTATAATACATCATCTATATATCACCATGCTGGTGTGCTCACCAGCCAGAGTCACTTCTTCTATCACCATATATTTGACCCCCTTTACTCTGTTCTACCACTCTCCCTCCCCCCTTGCCCTCTGGTAACCACTAAACTGTTGTCTGTGTCTATGAATTTTTGTTTCTTTATTTGTTTGTCTTGTTCCTTTGTGCTGTCAGTTTTATATCCCACATATGAATGAAGTCATATGGTTTTTTACTTTTTCTGTCTGACTGATTTCTATGTAGTAAGATATGTCAATCTGTTCCTTTATGGTATCTGGCTTTAATGTCAGGTTGTCATTCTACCCCTACCCAGCCCAAGATTATAAAAATATTCTCCTAAATTTTCCTCTAAAAATATATGTTAGTTTTATACTTGAATCTGCACTCACTCCATCTGGGATTTGTTTTGGTGTCAGTTTGTTATTCCCTGATGGCCGGCCAGGTGTCCCTGTAGGATGGTTCCTTTTTTCTTTTACGCTTTATACACAGATGGTTTTCATTTCAGTAATTTTAAGTCGTCATTTATAATTTTCAAACTAAAATTACATATTGATGAATACATTTTTTAAATAAAAATAAACAACTGACTTTTATAGATTTGAGAGTTTTATTTAAGAACTTAAACTGATTACATATTCATAAGTAGCTCTCTCCTAAAAAATATGTCTAAAAAAGATTCTTCATTTTGTGTAATATTATCAGATTACCCCTTATAAAAGAGCCCTTACTTTAAATATAGGCCAATATAGGCCATTTTAACCATCACGCTTTTTAAAAGACTCTTACAGATGAGACAGGTATTTTAGAGCTTCTGAATGCCATATCTATGGAAATAACTTTGTGCAATGGCCTGGATGGAAGCTATGCTCCTCTCTAGATCCCTTTGTCAAGTTTTTAAGAGAAACGAGACAGAGAACAAGTTAAATGATGTTATAGGAGTATAATCACAATATCCAGACTGTGTGAGGTCCTACAGGACAGAAAACCCAGTTTCTCCAGCAAATAAATTATAAGAAAAAATAACATTGGTTAAAAGACACTTAAGAAACAATGTTTGCCTCTTGCTTGGATTATGATTCAAAGAACTTCTAATTTCAATTCTATTTATTAAATTCAAACTAAATCTAAGCCATATAGATGTAACTGTAATATGCAAGGTATATAATGCAACTGGGGAATTTGAATATTGATCGGGTATTGAATGACACAAAGGAATTACAGCTAATTTTTTTTAGGTATGGTGGTTGTGGTTTTTAAAAATCTTTGCCTTTTAGAGACACATAATGAAATATAAATGAAAAACAAAGTTAACACCTGCATTAAACTGACAAAATAAAAAGAGTGCTTTGCAAACATTTCCACATAAAAGAATGCATATGTCCAGAGGGTCTAGACACAAGGCCTGAGTCATCCCAGAGCAAGCACAAAATTTATTTGGAGTCTTCTGATTTGCCTTAGAAGTCTATGGCCCTTTTGCATGTTACACCCAGTAGACCTGAATGTGGATATTTTAATATGAAAATAACTTATATTACCCCCCCTGAATAAAATAGTACTTCAGGAAGATGCATCATGCAGTATCATGTGGCTTTGATTACGCTGTAACGAAGTACCACAGGCTGGGTGGCTTCAACAAAACTGCATTGTCTCCCAGTTGTGGAGGTTGGAGTCCAAGATCAAGGTGCCAGCGTGGCTGGTGTCTGTTGGTGAGGGCCTTCCCCTTGGGTTAGAGCCACCTGCTCACTGATACCTTGTGGCCCTCTGGGCTGTGCACAGACGCAGTTATTTCCTACATGCCATCCAGTCCACCGCCCTTTCCAGCTCCCCTCCCACCTCCGCAGGCCTGTAAGTCTCAGCGAGCAGGGAGAAAACCCTCCAAAAGGTTTAAAGAATCACTTTTCAAAAATCCAGTCGCTGCTACAAGGACAAGCCTTAGCTTTTTGGTTTTTCTGTGTACTTTTTAAAGGGCAAAAGCCTTAAACATAAATTTTTCAACACATGGCGACAATGACATAAGGTAACTGTAGTGAATTCATTATATTTAACACAACAATGAGAAAAGTAAAATGGGAATGATTACAAACAAAATGAAGAAGGCCTAAATATGGTGTTTTAAAAGTTCTTAACCACAGTTAATGTCCTAGGGAAAGAATGGATGGAATTGGATACAAATTCTGAAGGCAGACTCCCTCCATCTTATATTCTTTTTGTTCTGAATATATTTATAAAAATGGTTTTAAATCTTCATGTCATAATAAGCCGTTCCTCTTTATTTACAGGTCTTTGAAATGTGTTGGTTGTTTTAGTGATAGAAGCCATGTAATCTTTTAAACCCAATAATGCTAATTGTAATATTTGGTAAATTATGCTGATGAAACATTCAGTGAAATGTCTTGTGCTTTTTTCTCGATAGTATGAATGAAAACATTACAGTTCGTTTCCTTTTTTTCCCCTCCGTAGTATACAATGTTGTCAGGGCAAGTTCCATTCCAATCTCATGACAAAAGTTTGACGTGTACCAGTGCAGTGGAAATCATGAAGAAAATTAAAAAGGGAGATTTCTCCTTTGAAGGAGAAGCCTGGAAGAATGTATCTCAAGAGGCTAAAGATTTGATCCAAGGTAAGAATCCAATGAAATTTTGCATTTTATGTGAAGTGCAGTGATTGAAGTGGAATCATGCCCTTTACACATATATTTGTTTAATTACACATATAATTTGTTTAATCAAGAAATCCACACATGGGCTGGCCAAGGGGTGCATTGGTTAGGAGTTGGCTTGGGATGCCAGCTCTGAGCAGCAGGGCCCCGGTTCGGATCCCACATGAGGGCCAGTCACGCTGCGCCCTCTACAGCTAAGATGGTGAACAACAGCTCGATCTGGAGCTGAGCTCCCATGAGTCGTCAGTGACGGCATAGGCTGCAGTGGGGGCTGGCTGGCAGCGGGCATGAGCTTTCATGAGCTGCTGTGAGCAGCCGTCCAACGGCCGGCGAGTGACTTCCTCACCTGGGAAGAGCGCAATGATAACACCAACATGGACCAGTAAAGTGACGTCCTCCACAACTAGACTGAAAAACAAAAGGACAGCAACTTGTCTGTTCCCCTTCCCCAATTCCCCAATGCTGTTTCCCTCCCCCAATTCCCCAATAAAATCTTTTAAAAAAATTTTTTTATAAATGAAACTATGATAGTGTTATTGTCATTTTCAATTTTACTTCAGAGCCACATGTACATACCCAAAGAGCCACATGTGGTTCGCGAGCCGCAGTTTGCTGACCCCTGGTGGCTCTTCTGGTCTCAAAAGTTTGCCGACCCCTGTTAATACCCAGATGTGATCACACCTCTCTTTTGTTAACATCCTGCAGAGCATCCGTTAGCTTCAGGCCCAGCTCCGTAGTTGAGTGTTCAGAACTCAGAGGCCTTCAGGACCTGGCACTGCCTGCCTCTGCGTCGTGTCACCCTCGCTCTGCCATTACCGAGAACTTGAACTATGCGGAGTCTGGGATTCCTGCACTTCTGTGTACCTGTCCTTCATAATCCCTGGTCCCCGCCCCCAGGCTCATCTTCTGGAAGCCTTCCAGGTGCCACACTCCCTGGGCTGAGCCTCCCCCTGGTCCCGTAGACACACTGTGCCCCCGTTCCTGTTGGGTCCACATAATAAAGAGGCTAGATGTCAAATTAGGGTTTCGAAGATTTTATTAAGTTGAGTTTAGTGACCACCTCTCCAACTAAGGAGAGATGGCCTTGAGATTTGGGGGGTAGGGTTTTTATAAGACAGGGCTGTATGTAAAGTAAATTACAGAATCTAAAAAAGAATGTGTAGTTATTTCAGTTAAAGCCGTATTTTGCTGTCACAACAGTGCCGTTATGTTTACATGTCTTAACAGTATATCATGCCTGGGTTGAGCTGACCGCACAACCTGTCCCTTAGAGATATGGATAGAGAAACTAAAGTTGACTGTTGTAAAACCTCTTTGAAATATTAAGATAGAGGCCAGGGGCGTTAACTGCTGTCCTTTTAATATGTTAAGATAGAGATGAGGGGAGGAGAGGAAGGGGGAACTGAGGAATGTTATTTTTTAACCTTTTATTCCCCAGCAGAAGCAAAGCAGGTGTACAGAAGCAAAAAGAGCTGTTAGTTCCTGTGAAACGGTCTAAGCCAGTTGTGGCAAAACTATTTCTGCAAAACATTTTTAATATTTCTGTTGCAACCCAATTTTTGTAAAGTTAGGCGTTGAAGTAGAGTAGTTGAAGTATGATTTTTTTCTTTTTAAAAAGTGAATCTGTCCGGCCTAGGGTCCCTTCATTCCCCACTGGTCTTATGGAAGTGAATTAAATTATAGATTTATGGACCGGGTTGTTGAGGGGAAGTTTGGTAGAAGGAGAGAGAGAGTATAGGTCAAGACATTTAGTTCTGTCTTTTGTGTAGGCGAATCAAGTATTATCCGGAGCTCGGAAGAAATTGGAGAGGCCAGTATATGTAGAAATTATGGTGTTAGTTATAAGGAATAGAATTATAGAGTGGAGTATAAGGGGAAGTAGAGATAGGATAAGAAGTACTGTATATGTAGGTTTCCTGGCCTTGGAGATTTTTAAGGGGGAGTTTAGGATGAGTCCAGGAACAGTTGCCCTGAGGTACTAGAAGTAAGGCAGAGGAGTTGGAAGTACCAATACCAACATAATAGGGAGGTTTGGGATTAAGGCATAGTCAGTAGTCTGCGGCGTCGGCCTGGTTTGAAACGTTAAGAAGAGCGTGAACTGTCGTTAATATCTGAAGGAGGGGAGGCAGTTGTGGGGATGTAGGAACAGAAAGTGATGGAATTGAAAGGAGGTGAAGCCAGGGGATGGAGGAATGGGAGAGGTGGGTAAGTATATCATAGGCTTAGGGGGGAGTGCTAGAGTTGGGAGAACAAAGTCTTGGTTAGGACCAATAGGGGTTAATGGTCTGGATCTGAAAATGAAGCTCTTTTGGATGGTAATTTGAGTGCCTATATCAGGACCAGGCAGGTATAAGTGAAGGCCCCAGGTTGTTCCCTTGAGTCAGAAAGGGGCGCCTGGACTAGTAATGGAAATTTTAAGGGGATTACAGGTGCCAATAAAACGACAGGATGGGTTGTGAGATAGTTAAATGGAAATATGGGGATTTTTTGTTTTCAGGAAGATGTTGTCTTACAGTCCCAAGTAGTGTAGTTATATTTGTTTGGGGATATACAATGGGGAGGTGACGAAGCAGGACAGGCATATAATTGAGTCCCTTGAGGCTTTATTTGTGGGTGAGACCCCTGTAGGAGTATGACCGAGGGTGAGGAGTAGTTACAAATGGGATGTTGATTTTGCATAAATCAACTTGTAAAGATATAGAAGTGTTGAAAGGAGAGGGAATATAATAAGTATATAGTTTTTGTTTTAGTGGCTTTAAGTTTTTATTTTACAGGTACTGGACTATGAGGGTGGGGTCTGTGGGCCCTAATTGGTATTGCGAGGAACAAGAAATAAACAGTTAAGAGGGAGATGAAGAGTCTCTGACCCGTTCCAGTTTTATTTTGCTATTTCCGGGCCCATTGAGGATCTGTTATCTGTCCTCGGTGTCTGGTGGAGCTGGCTTAACCTGGGTGTAGTGGTTCCAGGCAGGAATCCTGGTGACCTTAAGTGTTGTTGGTGTGATTAAGGTGACAACATACGGTCCATTTCAGGTTGGTTTGAGTGTCCTGGTGGGGAACCGTCGGACCGGACCAGGACATCGTCTTCGGGCTGGAATGGGTGAGGCTGGATAGGTCCATTGTTAGGGTGAGTCGCCTTGATGAGCAGCTGGAGTTCAGTCTGGAGGGTCTGTAAAGCTTGAAGAGACTGAATTAGGTGGTTGTTAGATATTTTAGATAACATATTTTTAATTTGTGGAAGAAGAGGGGGAGGTTTACTATACAGAATTTTATAAGGAGTGAAACCGGCACGGTAGGGGGTACATTATACACGGAGTAAGGCTAAAGGGAGCAGGTCCGGCCACCCAACACCAGTTTTAAGTACAAATTTAGTTAAAGTTTTTTTTTTAAGGTTTTATTTATTTGTTTTACCTACCCTGAACTTTGTGGCCGATAGGCACAGTGGAGTTTTCAAGAAATATGAAGAGTCTTGGCCAGATTTTGAGAAACAGTAGCCGTGAAGGCTGGACCGTTGTTGGACCCCAGGTAACAGGGGAGGCCACATCTGGGAATGAGTTCCTGGAGTAGTTTTTTGGCTACTGTGGCCGTCGTTTTTGTTTTAGTGGGGTAAGTTCCTACCCATCCTGAAAAAGAGTCAATAAAAATTAAGAGATATTTATAATTGTACGTGTTGGAGTGGATTTTAGTGAAATTAAGTTTTTAATGTTTGTTTGGGTAGGCGCCAGCAAATTTTGTGTCCATTTGTTGAGGATGGGAGTTTATGTTGACCTTAGTACAGACTATATGGATACAATGTCCTGGACAGTGGTGGTGAGGTTAAGGACCTTGAATTTGTTGTGGATGAGTTTATTAAGTTTTCGGGCCCCTAAGTGAGTCAGGTGGTGAAGTTGAGTTATGAGTTGTCTCTTTAATGTTTGGGGCAGACAGGGCCTTTTATCGGAAGTTTGGAGTCATTTACTTTGCTGGGGCTGAGCTCCCTGTGTCAAAAAAGTCTGGTGTTTCTCAGTGGAGTAGGTGGGGCTCTTCGGGAGAGTCTGGAGAAGTTTTAGGTTAAGGATATTTAATGGCCCCACTGGTCTTATGGCTATTTTCCAGGCAGCTTGATCTGCTGCCCTGTTTTCGACAGTCTCGGGGCTGGAGTTTTTTTGGTGCCCCCTGAAGTGGATGATGGCAACTGTCTTGGGTTCCCAAACAGTTTTCAGAGAGGCTAAAATTTTGTTTTTGTTTTTTTTTTTAGTTGAGTTATTCTGTCACCTGTTGGCAGCTCAGTGGTAGTTCAGCTGTGGCAGGACTCGAACCGTTGTTGCTCAGAGTTCAAACTTTTGAGTGAGTTTTTAACTAACTGAACCACTCAGCCGGCCCTTTTCTTTTTGTTTTTGATGGTCCAACCCTCCGAAGTTAGGAGCCCTCTGTTTTTGTAATTTCCCCATGGACATGAACCGTTGCAAAGGCATATTTATTGTCCGTGTAAATATTAACAGTCTTGTCTCTGCCTAGCTGAGGGTTTGTGTGAGAGCGATGAGCTGTCTTTTGCGTGGAGGACCCCCTGGGTAGGGCCTGGGCCCATTGTATTTGTATTTTGCCGTCCTGATTGACTATGGCTGCCCCAGTATACCTGGTCCCATCCCGAACGTAGCTATTCCCATTAGTATAAAAAGTCTTATCTGGTTTTGGCAAAGGGACGTCCGTCAGGTCCGGCCGGGTGAAGCTGGTCTGTGAGATGACCTCCAGGCAATGATGAAGAGGTCGGTCCAGATCTGGGTCTGGAAACAGCGTGGCCAGATTGAGGGTGGCTTTGGGTTTGAACTTTAGTCTGGGATGATTTAGGAGGAGGGCCTGGTATTGTATGAGACGGGTGTTGGAGAGCCTTTATTTTATGAGTTGTGGTTACTGTTAAGTCCTGATCAAAGGTTAATTTATTAGTTTTTTTAATAAGGAGAGTTGTTGTAGTTATGGCTTGGAGGCAAGACGGCCAGCCAAATGTTATGGGGTCCAGTCGCTTTGAGAGATAGGCGACGGGCCTTTTTTATGGGCCTAATGTCTGTGTAAGGACCCCCTTTGTAATACCGTTTTTTACTGTTATAAAAAAGGAGAAAGGTTTAGTGATGTCCAGTAGGGCCAAAGTTGGGGCTGAGATTGGGGCCTGTTTTAAGGCATGGAAAGTTGTATTAGTCTCAGGGGTCCAGACAAGTGGTGTATTCCCTCCTGTCGTAGCCGAATACAGGGGCTTGGCTAACTCGGCAAAACCCAGAATTTAAAGATGACAATAGTCTATAGCTCCAAGAAATTTTTTGACCTGTCGTTTGGAGTTGGGCCTGGGGATGTGGGTGATGGCCTGGATGCGCAGAGCGGATAAGGTGTGTTTTTCCTGGTTGAGATTGTAGTCCAGGTAAGTGACTGTAGGACTACAGAGTTGGGCCTTTTTGGCAGAGACCTGATATTTGAGTTTCTGCAAGGCTGACAGGAGATTTCCAGGAGCTCTGACCTATTCCTGCCCTGAAATTTCTCAAGTTTTTTGAAGGTTTTTTTTTTGATATTTGGGTCCAACTGAGAGACAAAAGTTAAGTTAATGGTGGTTGTATTTTTTGGTGTCTTAGGGTCAATTGGAGTATAAGTCCGATAAGTTTTTAAGAGGCTTTTGAGAAAAGCCAAGGGGGACTTTTGTTTAGTTTGAATAATTTTACTGACTTTGGTTAAATTAGTGGGCTTTTTTGCTGTTGTCCGGAGTTCCCCCAGGAGAAACTGGTGATAGGTGTCGAGGGCTCCCTTACCTTGATTTGTCGCAGGGTCCCAGTCTGTTCTCTGGGTCGGAAGCAGGCGGTGGAGCCTGCCGGCACTGTCAGGGTTGTGGGAGTCGATCCCCAGTCCGAGGGCTACTTTGTGGGCCTCCTGGAGGATGTGATCACGTTTCTTTGAGGTGAACAGAGTCTGGAGTAACTGCTGACAGTTGTTTCAAGTGGGGAGATGACCCCCTAACAAATTAATTTTATTTATAAGGTAGTATAATTTAATGACCTATAGGGCAGGCGACCAGTGCCCTCCAGAATTTAAATATATTGACCAGTAATACTGTGATAGAACATTAATTAATTTTTTTTGTTAACAGCTTATAGTTATAGTTTTTAATAAAGAACATTTTGAAAAAAATAATTTATATAAATTTTGTTTTTAAATATAAATTGTTTTACATTGTTTTTTAAACCAAAATATATATTATTTATTTTAATTAATTATTTTAAATTTAAATTTAAAATTTTTATGTTATTTTTTGTTTTAACACATAAGTATGTATGTTTTAAACTTTATAGAAATAGTATTATGTTGTCTATTTTTTGTGTGTGTATTTTAACAAGTTTAAGACAAAATTTTGAATAAACATAACAGTTGCTTGGAAATAAACATTAAACGTTTTTTAGAATTTAGTGTTTAGAAAAATATTACTGAAGACAAATTATAAGGGGCTTTTAGTTGGGATTAAAACTAAAAGTTAATTTATATGACAAGACGGGGATTGGGGAAGAAACTAGGGGAGACTATTAAGGAGTCTCTGAACAACTAGACAATAGCTGGGTTTTGTCTGTGTGTCTCCTCAGAGCTTCTCTGTGAGTCTCCATCTCCGTTTCTCTCTGCCTTGCTACCCTCCCCGACCTGTAGAAGGTGTTTGTATGTGAATGAAGTAGATCTCTCTCCATTTGAAGTTGACCCAGTCACAGTGGGAGTCTTTGGGGTGGTTCTTTTCTCCTGACTGAAAGGTCAGCCTACAGCATCCAGTATTCACTGGGGGTTTACATGTATGTGAAAGGTAATTATCTTTGTAGGATGTTGACGCTTTATAGAAACCATCATGTCATGTGAACATAATTGGGATTTATGTCTGAGGTTGATTTTAAACTATGTTTGAAATGACAAATCATAAAATAAAAATATTTATTTCCACAGGACTTCTCACAGTTGACCCAAATAAAAGGCTTAAAATGTCTGGCTTGAGATACAACGAGTGGCTTCAGGATGGCAGTCAGCTGTCCTCCAATCCTCTGATGACCCCCGACATCCTGGGATCTTCAGGAGCTGCTGTACATACTTGTGTGAAAGCCACTTTCCACGTAAGGCCCCATGTTCTGTGCGTGTCGGGCAGTTAGAAAAGGAAGCAGCCGTTCTTACTCTACAACTCAGAGACACACTCTTAGTAATACATTTAAAATAATGTGTCCTTTTAACTTTAGCCATGTTTTTATAAATCCCTTCATGATATAAACACATTCCTGAGCAGAAAGCGTGTGGGGAGCAGAGTCACTGCTCACCCCCAATGTACCTGTTTGACATTTAGAATGAGTTTGAGAGAGGGAGCAGCAGTCTGATGTTTGAATAGTTGAAGATCTTCTGTAGGTAATGAAAACAATGTACGTAACATTAGAACTTTGCTCGTGAGCTAAATCATTTTCTTTAAAAACCATAAGTAAACATTAGGGACTTTCCCATGTGAAACTCTGTTTATTCAACAGCCATTTTGTGCCTAATATTCTAGAGGCCGTGAGGGATAAGCAGTAGATTACTTGGCATTAAGTGTAGATTGTGTATGTGAAAGGCTGCGACTGCATAGCAGTAACTATGGATTTTGCACAGTTGTACCAAGCAGATGCAAATACATTAAGATAATTGTCTAAGGAGTAGATAGGTGAGGGAGAAATAAAATTACCTCTGAAGGGATTATCTTGAGAAAGGAGAAGGGATAGCATTTCCTCTTGGGCTGTGGAAATGGATTTAAAAAATCAATGAACCACGATCTGGGGAGGTGGGAAGAGGTTAACTGCAAGAATTTGCAGCAGGTGAGCCACATCTTCCCTGTGACACATGATGCAAGGTTGTCAGGGGCAACCGCAGTGATCCTAAGCTTGAGTCTAAGCAGAGACAGATGCTGTGAGGAGAAAGCCAGCCCCAGGTTTGTAGAGCTGATCTCTGTGTATATAAAGTGACCAAGATAACACCCAAATTGCACTGACTCGGATGTGGAGAGCAGGGGCTTAATCCACATAATGGATTAAAGCTGCTCAGTGTTGGGACTTTGTAGTCAGAATTTTAAATCTGAGACACAGGACTAGTAAAAGGACTGGGAGGATGTGGTGGGGGGCTGGGGGTTGGGGGTAGATTGCTGTAGTCTTTAGGAATTGCCAGTCGATGTTTTTTTCTTGGGAGGTAGCGCTAACTTCTTCAAAAGATGTATTAAAACCATGACTTCTGGACAGCCTAGCTGGTTTGATTTAAACAGAGCCTGAGAAATCTTTTCCACGAACTTCTGTACCCTATCAGGCGGTTTGGACATAATGGTTTTTAGGACTTCGTTCCCCAAACGCCTTGGAGCTGTGGTTGCCAACCTCAGGTTGTCTTCTGCTGTGAGACATAACCCCCCAAAAAACATCAGTCCTTTTACCTTCACCAGAGTCCCCTTATTTTTCTCCCCTAGGCCTTTAACAAATACAAGAGAGAGGGGTTTTGCCTTCAGAATGTCGATAAGGCCCCTTTGGCTAAGAGAAGGAAAATGAAGAAGACCAGCACCAGTACGGAGACGCGTAGCAGCTCCAGCGAGAGTTCTCATTCTTCTTCGTCCCATTCTCACGGCAAAACGACGCCTACAAAGACACTGCAGCCAAGCAATCCCGCTGACAGCAATAACCCAGAGACCCTCTTCCAGTTCTCAGACTGAACAGCACAGGAATGGTAGGAATGTAACCTGTGATCCGTTGCACCTTTGGTCCCCTCAGCATATACCTGAGGCGATGTTTTGTGCTTTTAAAAAAAGTGTCCCATTGGTCTCATTGGAATCTGCCTCTTAGGGAATGTTTTCAGGAAAACCCATTGGTTATCCTTGTCCAAAAACGCTGGACAGAGAATGTTACTGTGAATAAAGCACATGCCATACTGTTTAGCGACCTAGCGTGATGCCAGCAGGACTGTTCTTGAAAGAGCAAAGGCACCTGTATGTGTAATCAGAGACTGGGTGGATTTGAACTGCTCACAGAGTGAGTCACAGGCTTTTCAGATGTCTGTCAACAAGAGTTACTCCTGTGATGATGGCACCTTTTGCTTCTCCTTGTGGATAATGTGGGTTTTTAAGAGATTTGCACTCTTTGAACAGTGATTTATCAGAGAAAAAATGTCTGTTTTCGAAAAGTTTCTGTAATGAATTTTATGTGTGGCATATACTTACTTCTTGAGAGAGGATTTTAACTTATTGTTTTTATTTTATGGTTTCATGATGATAACCTGCTATTACGAATCTTTTTCTAACACGTAAAAGAACAGATACAAGAGCTTACAGTCCCAGGCTCTGTATTTGGGACCCACCTGAGACGCATGCTAAGCTGCATATGTTTTTGATTTTGCACTGCTCTTTCCTGGCAATTTATTTTAATGGTTACTGCAAAACATTAAGGTACATGTCTCTGTTTAAGTAATAATGCACTTTATAAAAGAATCTGAATAAACAAGCTGTTTTATAAAGTGCACTGTTTAAAGCATATGTACTGTATTTTTGCCATTTTTTCCATTGTGTACTTTAAATTTGTCCTCACCTCCCCCTCCTACTTGGTTTGCAACAAGGAGAATGGGCCGAGTGGCATAACTTCATCTTGAGCCACTTAGGTTCCGATGTGAGGAAAACCTAAGGGAAATTCTTTTAAACACTGTGCTTCATATTTGTACACTGTGTTGTGCTACAGTGAGGCATGTCCTCCTGTAGTCGGATATTCTGTACATAATATTTTAGAATCATAACTATGACTTGTTTTGGAATTTTTCTGTTAAATTTTAAATGCAGAAAGCCTATTTTATAAACTTATGCAGAGCACTTTTATTGCTCAAAAGTTCTGAATTCATACCGAAAACAAGTGCTATGTGATGAAGACATTTCACTGAAAGATTGCTGCATTTTAAAATATGATTAATTCATTCCCTATGCAAAAAAAAAGGAGTGGTAGGATTCGTATGTTATGTTTTTCTTTTAAAGCCATCACATGAAATGTCAGAACTGAGAAAGATGATCTTTGTTTACAGGAATCATGCTTAAAAAGATAATGCCCAACGTGTTCATTTTATAGCTTTTGTTAATGATGACTCTGGCACATTAATTTGGAACGTGGGCATGATATTTATTTATTCCTTTCTTGAGATAATAGCAGCATTAATTTCAGCCAGTTATGAATACTAAAAATATTGCACTCTATGTAATAGTAGTATATTTATTACTAAATCAATGTATATATTAATAGCACAGGCAAGAAAAATGGCAAATATTAAAATATTTTCAAAATATTGTTTTATCCTGTTCACATTTTTGTCCACAATGGTTATTGGAAATAACTTTTTATACTTTTCAGTGGCTTAATTGGCTACATAATTTTCATTGAGACGGTTGTACTCCTAGCTTTCAGTCATTCTTCGGTAATGATACGAAATCGTATGTGAAGTATTACCAAATTATTTATATGTAGCTATTTCACAGAATGCGATTCCATCAGGCACAGATTTATAGTAATTAAGAAAATGCCCGTTTATATGTATAGTTATGGTGACTGTATTTGGAAATGTGTGATTTAGCGTTAGTCCTTTTTAAAACTGCATCCTGGTAGAAAATACCAATTGTAAAGTGTAAATTAAAAGGACCTTGTTGGTAATGGAAAATGATCCAGAAAAATGGTCAGTGTACCCTAATGATTGATGATGTAATCGACTCATCGTGAATACTGGAAATCAGTGGGTTTCATTTTCATTTATTTTCCTTGCCTTCTCGTCTGGAGGACATGACAGAAAATGAAATGGGTAAAACATCGGGCAGCTTAGGAGAAAGGAAAGAGACGTCTGATACATCAGCTTATGAGCCTCCCTGAATAATCTAGATGGAGCTCTTGAGAAGAGCTCAGAAAACACACAGAGCTTTAGTACCCTCTGGTCAAGTATCTTCGATACCAGAAAAGACAGCATTTGATGCTAGTTTGCAGCAGCTAAGCTGTGTACAGGCTGTTAGGGTACAGTGAGATGCACTTTCAAATTCACAAAATTTTTATTTAGTCACATCAAAAATAAACCAAAAAGCACTTCATATGAAAATGTTAAATGAAAGGACTCTTTTGGTATCAGGAGTGAAATAGAAGTAGATCTAAGGAAAACATACCTACACGTTCTCTTTATAACAACTTTGGAGATAGAGCCAAACCACCCCTTCCCTTCTCCCCTTATTGATTTTATTGTATTGTATGTAGTTTTCATACCATGATAAATCCTGACTCATCTATTTTATAACTACATATGGCTAATTGAGAGGCAAGATTAAGAAAAGGAAGGAAATAGAGGAAAGACATTTGAAAAGACCAGTTTCTTCTAATTACTGTGCCTGATCCTATGGATGAGTGAGTTAAATTAGCTATTTTGAAATTCATTAATTTTTCCAAACCTCCGTAAAATAATAAATCACCGAACCACTGAAACAGAAAATCAAGTCTCAAGTTAACTTCAACATGCTTGTTTGTCTTGAAGTTGGAGATTCATTTACCCATGGAAAACTGCCTTTGAATTTTTTTTATATTACTGCTGATTTTTTCAATAACTGTATAAAAGGCGACATTTTAAATATAAGGTAAGTTATTTTAAAGAAGCCTACTAGGATAACAGTGACTATTTTTGTAAATAGGGAATTCCTTTTGTATCTCATTTTATGTTTTAAATATGGTCTCAAATACTTTATAAAAATGTATAATTTATTGTCTACTTGTTCACCTTGCCCCCATTTCACACACCAGTTATTGTCATGTTATTAAATCAGGGTACCTCAAAATAGTGAAAATATCTAAATTACTGGCCCTATATGTATTTTAGATCCTTTGATTATTTCGAGTGTTCTCCCAATGACCAATAATAAGGATGTGATTTGCGTATTTGTGTTATCACAGTTCTAATATTCTTTAAGATCTAAATAAAAAGGTTAAACTCTGATATGCCGCTTGCTTACACTATATCAAAATAATTGTCTTATAGATGAATTATTGTAATGATGAAATATCTTAAAATATATAACTTGGCCCCTCAAATGTCTTACACTATTAACAGCCGTTTCTGGTCTTTAATTACTTATATCCCGTCCCCCCCACGAGTGTCCATCTTCATTTGATACCTTTACTTAGCACGAAAATGAATGTTGCAGGCTCTAATGAAATTCAGAATTTAAATGTGATTATAAAACTCAAAGAATGGAAAAGTAATCACTAAGATAACAAATCAATTATGCATCAATTATTGAGTATAATAATTAAGTATAATCTACCTAGAGGAAGTAGCCACTACAGCAACATAAAGCTTTTATTCTGTCTTGTTAGGTGACTTCACTCCAATTTGTGACACTCCTTAGAATATTTTCCTTAAGAGGAATTAATTAAATTTTGTCTATCAGAGGAAAAACATGCATTTTCAAGGGGGCAACAATTTTCAGCTTAAGAACATTTGGTTACTCTCATTTCATTCCTCATCTTCAGCATTTCTTACTTCAAGGCTTTCACGATATTTTCTTTCTATGCCCAGCTCCCTGGTATGTGATTAAGTAATTGATGCTTCTCTTCCCCAGGGCTGTCGTCCACCTTTTAGTTCATGAGTCTGTGGATTAAGCAGGTGCCAGTATTTTATATTCTGCCTCTATTAGACTGAAAAGGAGTAAAACACTAAAGTGACTCCCAAATATACCCGTTGCCACCTCTTCATAGGAGTACAAAATAGGTACTGTTGATTGCCAGCCATTTCCTTTCCATTATTACTTGTGACCACATGGTCAACGCTTGATAGTTTTTATTTAGAAGGAGACTTAGGTTAAAAGGTGGGGTTCTTTGTAGTTATTCATCAGGCTTAATTTTGCTGCTGTATTTCTGCTGGGATAGGTGGAAGGCCATTTTGTAACATTTTTCTAGTTAGAGAGCTGTTTAGGTTATGGTAAGGAGTGGAATAATTCAGATAATGGATTGAGTTAGTATTTTGCACAGAGCTGTTCTCAGAGCATAGGAAACGGGGATAATACTTAGCATTATGTTGTTCACATTATGATTTTCCTTTGCATAACATTTATAATTTGTACAGTTTTACAAAATTTGTCTCTTTGCTAAAAAAAAGAAAAGAAAAAAAATTCTACTTTTATTCTTGTTCTTTCCCATTTTGATCAGTTTTTATCTTTTCACTTATGTTTTAAAGTTCTGCTGTCTTAAAAAAGAAGAAAACAGAACCCAAAAAATGTCATAACTTAGAAAAGGAAATTTCAGTGGCAGAAACAGAATATTATAGATTTATTTTTTGGCATTTCTGCTTGTAGATGGATTGGAAAATCATTGTTTCTGTTGTTTTCTTTGTTTTAAAATCCAGTAAGGTCAAGGAACTTGACATTCTTAACTGCAGTTTTATTTTTAACTTTGTAAGAGGTAGTTATGTAAGATGTGCACTGTCTTGTTGGAATGGATATGTCATAATCCTCTTCATTAAAGACCTGTTGCTCTGGTAGACATGTGAGCATTCATAACAGTTTATTTTAGGTACTGTAGTGCTATATTAGTTGCTCAAATTATAAATACTGGTAAAAGGGGAGATTAAACGTACAGTAATTCTCATTATTTTGATGAATCTAAAAAGAAATATAAAGATGCTACATTACATATAAAGTTAATGTTCTAGTAGTACGATTTTGAAAACTATCCCTAAAAACTTGACTGGCATAAATTTTTATAAAGAAGAGGAGAAAACCACATATCCACACACTGAGAGGAATTTTTAAAAGACTGGCGTTTTAACATATATATAGCTGGTGTGCTTCTGTCTTAAATGGCATTCATCCTTAGGTGTTGACAACACTCTAAGGTGCAATAATCTATGTAACTATGTAAATTCTTCCACAGCTTTACATAGAGATCGGCATTTGTCTTACTAGAAAGTCAATGGAAGATAAAAAAGATGAAAAACATTGTTTTTTTTCTGTTCTATGTGGACAGTTGAAAGCATAGTCAAGCCACAGTTCAAACACGTCTTTCCCATGCATTGCCACGTGTGCTGTCTTCTTAGCTGCAGAAAAGTCATCCTTTTTCATGCATTGCTTTTTCTGGTTTCCAGTTATCTGACCTCACACATTAATGCATCCCTACACTGAAATCTCGCTCACTACTTCATGTATCCATGTACTGATTAATGACTGTAGATTGGAATTAAGGTCAGAGAAATGACTCGATTAGGATAGACAAGGGAAAAGTTGGGGATGACAATTAGGTAGGCATAAGGAGGTAATGATACCATGTGAGAAAGTGAGCACCTTACAACCCTGAGATACAAACATAGGGCTGCTTTACAAAAGTGCTGTTTCAGTGGCCGTACAGATAAATCTCTTTTAAAAATTGTATCTACTATGTGGATAAATGAATTTATTTAAAATGTCTATACAGGCTTTGTAAGACAGTCCTTTTCTTCCAGGAGGCCCTTGTGGCAACTTTGTCCTCTGTCTCCCGACCCTCTCCTCAACTCCTCCTGATGCCTCCTGCCCAGAGCACTCATATCCTGTGGCCAAAGGGACCAGTCCGAATGGAGCACTAAGGCTCCATGTAGTGATCATGTTTTTTTAAAAGTGCATTGCGGTATGTAGCATGTAAAGCACACAGATCTTAAGTGCACAGCTCAGTGAATTTTTACACATGTATGCACCCATGTACCCACCATCTAGATCAAGCTGAGGCTCCCAGTCCATACGCAGACATGACCACCATTCTGACTTCAGTCACCACAGATGAGTTTTTCCTGTTCTTGACCGTTTTTGTAAATGGAATCATACAGTCTGTAGTCTGTTGTGTCTGGTTCTATTTGATTGTCATTACGTCTGGGAAATTCATCGGCGCGGTTGCAGGTAGCAGTAACAATAGTGTGCTCTGTTTTGTAACTCGTATTCTATCAGCCAAGTGTATCACTGCCTGTCCGTTCTGTTGACGAGCATTTTGAGTTGCTTAAATTTTTAGCTTTTCTGTCTAAAGCTGCCATGGGCATGCCTGTATATATCTTTTAGTGGACATGTGTACTCATTTCTCTTGAGTTTATGCATAAGAATGAAACTACTAAGTCATAAGCTGGATGTATATTGAGGTTGTAGAAGATACCGCCAAATAGTTTTCAACAGCGGTTGTACCAGTTTGCAGTCCCACCTGCAATGTGTGAGAGTTCCGGTTGCTCTCCGTCCTCATCAATACTTGGTACCATCTGCCTTATTAGTTTTAACCATTCTGGGAAGCGTGTGTTTCATTGTGGGCTTAGCCATTCTGGTAAGTGTATATTTTATTGTGGTTTTCATGTGCATTTCTCTGAGAAGTAATGATGTGGAAAACCTTTTTATAGCTTTATTAGCCATTTGGATATTCTCATTTGCTCAGTGTCTGTTCAGGTCACTTGTTCATATTTTTGGGGTTGTCTGTCTTTTTCCTGTTCATTTGCAAGGAAAGGTTCTTTACATATGATTGGTATGAGTTTTTTGTCTCATCTATTATTATAAATATCTTCTCTTTGGTTTGCTTGTTCACTTTCCAAATGGTGTCCTTTGAGGACCAGAACGTAATTTTTATAAAATTCAGTATATCAACCTTTTATGGTTAATGATTTTTGTGCCCTGTTTGATAAATCTTACCCAAAGATTAGGAAGATATTCTTAAATTCTTCTCAAAGCTTTATTGTCTTACCATTCACATTAGGCCTATGATCTGTCTAGCACTGATATTGGTAGTGTGAGATAGTAGCCAAAGTTCTTTTATTTCCATGTAAGTGCTCACTTGACCCAGCACAATGTATTGAAAAGCTCAGTGCATTGCAGTTGCAATTTTTATAAAGGCTTCATATCTGGGAATGGAAGACCTCTAACTTTGACCTGCCCTATGGTCTTGGCTATTCTTAACCCTTTGCATTTCCATAACACATTTTAGAAACAGCTTGCCAAGATCCCCGTGGGAGGTAGGGGACGGAATATCTATTAGGGTTTAATTGATTTTGCATTGAATATACAGAAAGTTCAGACAGTTAAGTTCATGAACTTTCCACCGTGCACTTACACAGTAGAAAGTTCGCAAATTTAATTGTCTGACCTTCGTATAGGTATAATTCAGGAAGATTTATATTGTCTCAGTTTTGAATTTTGCACTCCGTAGACACAGTATATCTCTCTGTTTTCTTAGGTCTTCTTTAATTTGTCTCAGCAATGTTTTAAGATTTGCATGTAGAGGTTAGACTTATTTCTAGATTTTTAATGTTTGTATTTTATTACCTAATTCCTTTTTGTTGGTACAAAGAAAGCTAATCGATTTTTGAATTGCCTTTGCATCTAGCAACCTTACTAAATTCACTTTAATTATGATAATTCTACAGAGTCTTTTGTGTTTATTCATGTATGTAATCATTTCTTCTGTAAATAATGATAGTTTCATTTCCCCCTTTTTCCAATTTTACTTTTCTTGCCTTATTGAGCAGACTAGGACTTCTAGCAAAATGTGGGATAGAAGTGGTGACAGTGGACCTCTTTGACTTATTCCTGAACTCAGAATAAGAATTCAGTATTTCACCATTCACTATGATGTTTGCTGTAAAATTTTAATAGATACCGTTTACCAAATTAAGTGGGGTATTTTTACTCCTAGTTTTCTGAGAGTTTATTAAATGCTTTCCTACCTCTATTGAGATGATCATGTTTTTTCTCCTTTCTTTTAGTGACAAATTATACTAATTGCTTTTCAAATATTGCATTCCTGGGATAAACCCTATTTGGTCATGTTATTTTACTCTTTTCATTTATCAGTTGATTCAGCTAATATTTGGCCTAAGGTTTTTGAGGTTTTTTGTTTTTTTTTTAAGATTTTATTGGGGAATTGGGAGAATGGGAACAGTGCTGGGGAATTGGGGGAAGGGGAACAGACAAGTTGCTGTCCTTTGGTTCTTCAGTCTAG